GGGGGGGGGTCGACCTACTTAACTAGAAAGGGCGGCCCCTGACCCCGAACGGGACGCACTCGGATTGGTTGATTTTGGCGTCATTTCAAAAGAGACTCTTCTATGATTGGCCAGGAAAGTCAAGCGGGAACCCAGAGGCTGGAGTTGGGGCTGGGAGGCGGGTAACAAAGTTGTTGCCCAGGTAACACAAACGCGCAGGTATCGCTGCTCTCTCTTCTCCCAGCCTCGCCAGCCGCGGAAAACTGACCAAGGTGAGGAAACTCGAACCTCAGGAGCCGGAAAGATGGGGTACTTAAATGCTGTGACTATCGGAAAAACTGAAGGGGAACTCTACGTGCCCCCCCAAAAGTCACAAGTTGAGGATGGTAGAGGCGTAATGTTCCCTAAATCCCGCTCTCCTACACTAGAAACTCGGTCTCTCAGGACGCGGGTGAGAGATGACGCAGTTGTAGCGTACAGGGGATGGGTGCTGAGCGACCGTTAAAACGCCGAAGTGATCATCTGAAGGCTTCTCAATTGTCTTTCTCAACTCTCTCACACTTTGTGTTTCTTTTCTTTTTTCTTGAGCCCTTATCAGTTATTCTTTCCACCTACCTCTCCTTTTTTTGGGGGGGGGGGACGGGGGCGGTATTGGGATTTGAACTCGGGAACTCGCACTTGCTAAGCAGGCGAACTACCACTTGATCCGCCACCGAGCCCAGAGTTTTTTTTGTTTGTTTGTTTTTGTTATTTTTTGTATCTTCTCTTTTGGTGTTATGGATGGAGCCCAGAGCCTCATGCATGCTAGGCAAGCGCGCTACCACTAAGTTACATCTCAGCCCATACACACATTTTAATCCGTTCTTCTTCACTGTTAGAAATGACTAGATCTAAAGGAGTGGCTCTAGTGGTAGCGCGCCTGCCTAGTAAGCGTGAGGCCCTGAGTTCAAACCCCAGTACGGAAGAAAAAAAAAGGACTAATTTAAGAGTGTACGCCATATTTCCGGTGTAGGTAGATCTGAATGGTCCAATCAGAGCAGTTACTGTACTTTGTGTTTTACGTGTTACAGGCATGATTTATCCTGAAGTAGCATGCCTTGGTTGGGATATATTTTCAGAAGGGAAAAAATGGCCCTTGCCACTGTTAACTTGAACATCCTGTGTACCTGGTTGTTCTGAGTGTGATGGAATACATTGAGGAGAGGGAGCAGTCAAATCCACACTTAGTGTAGTGTGCAAAGCCTACTTGCACCTAAAAACCTGCTACTCACCAAGGACTGCTTAAGAAAATTAGTGTTCTATGTTTCAAAAAGTGGAAAAATTGGAACGAAAGAGTGAGGGGAAGGAACCGACTTTGAACAAAGAGTGAACATTTCTTCTGTTGTGATAGGGATTTAGAACATGGACTATAGAAGAAGTAAAGAAGACAGACATGTTAACCTGTGAATAAAATTTGAAAGTACTGAAAGAAAATTTGCCTTCTCAATCCCAATTTTACATGCAAGTGGAATATGAGACTGAGAACGGAAGGAGAAAAATTATTGCCAAGTGTATTAAGTTCATCTGAAATGGTGTACTATACAGCTTTTGATAACTCGGGATGAGCTCTATAGAAACTAAGGATTTTTATCTCCATTATAAAGACTCACTTTTTAAGCCTGGCATGGCAGTCCACATCTATAGTCCCAGCTACAAAAAAACCCCTTGCTTTTCAAAAAAGGATAAAGACGCCTTATGAAAAATTAAGAAATAAAGAATACACACAGGAAATATTAAATCAAAACAAACTCATCTTTTATTTAGGTTTATAAAAGATTCCAGGCACTTTTAGAAAGACTCTTCCTTTAAATAGATTTAAATTTGTGACAAAATCCCAGTTAAATTCCCACAGTTACTTATGAGTTGGTATATTTCATCGTGGTGAAAGTTATAAACCTACAAAGGAAACTATTCTTGGGTATCGTATGGACACACTTAAAATGAGGTTTTTAAAAATTGAACCCAGGGCTTCTAGCATGCTTAAGCATGCATTCTACCACTGAATTACACTTCCATTCCACAAATTAAATATTTTAATAGGAAGAGAATTATTCCTGAGTGCACTTGTCAAAAATATTTGGGGGGGGTAGGGGTAGGAGGCCCTAGGTTCAATCCCCAGCATCGCCAAAAGAAGAGAAAAAATTTAATTATTATAATTTAATTCAGACATAGCAGCGATGTTTATTTTTGTGTTCTCAGAAGAATTTTAATGAAGGAACTGCTAAATAAGACTCTATGTAAATACAGTTGCAGAAGAAACACCAAATTGATTTTGAAACTAAATGGATTTTTAATACTTTGAAATTGTTCAGTCATAAAGTCAGAATTTTACTTGAGGATACCTTTTTAACTATTTGCTTAAGTTCCAAAAGGATATTTGGTGAGTCCTTTTTACTCTGATTTTATTTATTATATATACATGAATTAATAAAATATCACTCAGAGTTTTCACTAATTTAACTTAGACTTTTCTCTAAGTAGTTAGTCAGAGACTGATCCTGTGAATAGAGATAATTCAAATAGAGAGTGCCTAACTTGCTCCCACACTACTGATACTGCTGCACTGCCATGGCTCTGAAGCATCCTCATTGAACTTTGAAAATCCCTAACTGGCTCCAATAGTTTGGTAATGAGTGGTTCTGGAGTGTCTGTTGTTTTAGCTAGTAGTGGCTACTACCAAGAAAGAGTCCCCTCAGCTACATTTCTATCTCTGCAGGCCCTAAGGGCTCAGATTAATATGGGAAAATCAAAGGCTCTGTCTGGAAAATGCTGCCATTGGCATCAGCCTAGCAAAAGAGTGTGGGAGAGAGAAAAACACAGGGTCTAGAAAATTTAATTTTTTAATAACCACATCTTCAGTAAAAGATTTAGCAACATATTTTGTTTCTATTGAAACTCTTAGTTGAATTTTCCTTAATTTAAATTTATTCCTAGCCTGTTTCTAAAAATCTGTTCATTGTTTTTCAATGTTGAAGATGGAACCCAGGGCCTCATGCATGCCAGGCAAGTTCTCTACCACTGAGCCACATCCCAGTATTCTTTGTCTATTTAAGTGGCAATGCCACATTCAAATATAGTCACTGTGGCTCTAGAATCTTTTTGAAATTACTACACTGTATTACCAAAGTAATCTAGGTAAACCATACAATATACCGAAAGAAACAAAGACAGGAAATTATAGTATATGTTTAATAAGCTATTTACTTTTTAACAGAATGCAGAACACATGTAAGAGAATAATAGGCAGGAAGGGCAGAAAATTAGGCTGAGGCTATATCCTGAAGGACCTTGATTGCCAGGCTCAAGATGAACTAAAAATATATCAAATTCGTAAACTAAATAACACTGCATAATTCATCAAGAGACATCTTCCTGTTTTGTTTTGAAAAAGAAAACTAGCCTGTTTGTATCAAATGAACTTTAATAAATGTTTTTAAAGTTTAATATATTACTTTTAATATGTTAGACTTCTAAAAACACTAGTAGAATCTTCATTTCCATTGAATTTAGAATTTTTTAAAAATACACATAATTGGTTTTCTTTCCTTTTTTTTTTTTTTGAACTACTAGGGTTTGAACTCACAGCCTTATGCTTGCTAGGCAGGCACTCCACTACTTGAGCCATGCCACCAGCCCTTTTTTTGCTTTAGCTGTTTTTTTAATAGCGTCTCATGGATTTTGTTGTTGCTGTTTTTCAGGGTGGGTATTTCATTTTGTTTTATTTTGCTTTGCTTGGTTTTGTTTTTTTGCCTGGACCAGCCTAGGACTATGATCCTTGTATCTATGGCCTTCCACATAGTTGAGACCACAGGCATACCACCACACCTGGCTTATTTGTTGAGATGGGGTTTTGCTAACTTTTTGCCTGGGCTGCTCTCAAACTGTGATCCTCCCAAGCTCCACCTCCCAGTAGAATGAATTACAGGAGTACATCACCATGCCTAGCTGTTTTTCTCTCCTGATATTTTATACTATTTAATTACTTATTCATAAAATATTTGTGATTCTTTTGTTCAAAATAAATGAACACAATCATCCAGATTTATTGTTTTGTATTTGTAGATTATTATTACATTTGATATAGTAAAATATTTTTGCATAAATGCTAATTTTATTATATTTTTACTTCAATTTAGCTATAGTGCAAGTAATGTTATTTTATGCCAGCATAATTTGGAAGTCCAATTAGAGCCCAATTCCTAATATGTTTTAGATATGTAAAGTATTACTAAGAATTATTGTGAATGATTTGTTTAATAAACACAAGACATATTCATCCCAAGGAATGGCATCCCCTTTGATGTAGCCCCTTTAGAAGGCTAATCTACTTATTCAAATGATGTTTCTATAGCTTAAATTACTTTTGAAATAGTCTTTTAGAATTACCTTGAGGCCTGTGGCACATTCTTTTGAATATCCTCAAAGAAGCAAATCTTCATATTTTGAATGTAGATGTGATATCTACATATATCTAGAAATCACTTTGAGACAAATCTGATGTGTAATCAAAATGAATGATACTATAATGATACCTATTTTCTTGTGATACCCGTGAAGGCAATTCTAAAAGAAAAGACAAATTCCAAAATATTTTGAGCATCGATAGGATAATTTCCATCAGTATATACTTCCAAAGTGATTATTTGGAAATGACACATTCATATGAATTTAATCATGCTTCATTCAATATTCATCAACTGTTGGCTATGTTCCAGCTGAGGTTACTGGAGATGCTCTATATTGCTTTCCACTGCCCACACTGCTCTGCTTCTCATCTAATGAGAACCAGGTCAGAGATTCTTCCCAACTAACTGGCAGAGATTAAGAATTAATCTGTTTTTCCTAAATCCTGTATCCATTGCACCCTCTGAACCATAACCTTCCTTCATCACCTCCATAGTGGGTGTCCAGGTGACACAACAAAGCCACTGATCCAGTGGCTGGCTTTTATTTTCTTTTTCTGCTGGAACTTTGAGCCCTGCCCTAACTGAACCTCCATCTACCTGCCAACTCCCCCACATTTCTCAAGAACTAGACCCTGCCTTCTGTAATTCTATACCTGTCTACTTTGTATACCTCCACCTATTGTTCTACTTCACCCTAATATGTCCCCCTGTGTCCAGGAACACCTGCTGCCACAGCCCTGCTAAACACACAAGACCAAATGAGTAGTTATTCTGACTGATACCTCAGACACTATACTTGGGACTTCTGAATACCTTTCTTATGAGTATTCTTATCTCACTGGCCCACCTTCAAACTCTCTCACAAGCCTCATGATCAAGCATCTGTGAGAACTGGCCCTATGTGCTGGATAATAATGGTATTTTATACAGCTTTGCATATTTTAGCAAACTTTCACCTGTGTTGTATAATTTAACCATCACAATTTTGTGAAGTAAATAATGCTGACATGATAAACAATTTTTGCTTTGTTTCTTCAATATCTTATTGTACATTCTCAAGTTGAAATACTAATTATATCTGATATCTAGATGTATTTTTCCCTTTCATTGTCAAAGGTGGAAAAGGTTTCGATAAACATTTTGCTTTTAATCTTAGGTAAATATTTAATGAGCACATAATCAACTAAGAATTGAAAAATATAAACAAGGAGCCTCTTTGTTCAATTTAATATGTGTCAATTATTCATTTCCATAGCAGACTACCAGACCATACTGTGAGAGAAAATTGTTTTATCACCTTTTATTTCACCTTTTCCAATTAAATGAGTTTCCAACATAATGAGTTTTATCATTAACTTATTCGACATCATTATTAGAAGTGATATTCATGCCCAGCAAAATTAAACTTTTAAAGAACTAATAATAGCTAACATATGTTGAGTGCTTACTATGTGTCAGGCACTATTCCAAGCTCTTTTATATGTATTAAGCTACTTAATCCTCCTAACAACTCAAAGAGATAGACACTTATTATCCCCACTTTACCGATAAAGAAAATTAGGTACAGAGAATTTAAATAATGTGCTCAAAGTCACAGCGCTAAGAAATAAATGATTGTGTCCAAGCAGCGTGATTCCAGAACCCTTACTCCTAACCATTATGATACAGTGCCTCTATACGGGAGGTATATAGCAACTTAATATTTATTTCATACCCTTGACATGGACAATAGGTATTAAGATCTGTTTGATATTTAACAAAGAAAGTCAAAAGAATGGTAAAGCAGAAGATTTTAAAACACCATCTGCATACAAATTGATTTTGATAAATGGTTACAACAGTATACACAGTAAGAACCCCTTTGTATTATCATTCTAGGCACAATGCAAAAATTTTTCATGTATCACTTAATAAAAGCACTAGAGAAATGTTTCCTGAGAGTTAATTTTATAAAATTAAGTTTAAAAAATATCAGCAGAACTGTAAAAATGGTTCCTATCATATTTACGCCCAAATCACTAACAATAGGCCTAATTCTACAATCTTTATTCAGGTTATTCACTAAAGCCCGACACCTTTGAGATTGTTAAAGATTCTGAATTTCCTATTCTAAATATAATTGCAGAGATTAGTTTAAAGATTGATTTCAGGATGGTAGGATTATAGGTGGTTGTGATTTTCTTTTTTATATATTTTCCACAATAGACATACATAGTACTACTGTTATAATCAGGGAAACATTTATTCTGTTGAGTGTGAATTTTCATGAAAGTCAATGAACCAACCTATTAGAATTCTCAAATGGTAATATAATGTTAGCTATCTACAATGGTTAATTAAGAATTAAAGCAGAAAGGTACAGGCTTGCCAGAGGCAAAAGTATGAAATGAGTAAAGTTTGTCTGGGCATATCCTAGAAGCAACATCATTTTCAGTACACTAAATGCAGTATAGAGCCTAAACAGCATATAGGTGACAGTTAAAAAGATAGTCTAAAAACTGTGTTCACAAATAATGGGAGATAAAGCTGTAGCAATCTGTTTTTAACCAACTATTCAAATCATTTTTTTTGTAGTGCTGAGGATTGAGCCCAGGGCCTTGAGCATGCTAGGCAAGTACTGTACACCCTAGCCTCTAAATGATTCTTAAACCTGACAACCACTAAAGTAGATGTTCAAGAAGTGCTTTGTAGAATGAATATGAAGTTTTAGCAAAGCAGGCCGAATGTTTCTGTTTCCTTTCTGTGATAGTTCTGTGAATTAGCAAAATGCATATGCCTGAAGGAGTTTATACGTATTTGGAAATAAGAGTAGGAAACAATGGAGTGACCCAGTGAAAGAAGGGGAGATACGGTAATAAAACACCTTATGTCTTAAATCGAACAGAAAAGTAAAATACTTATATCTGATTATCTTCTTCCTCAGAATATGGAGTCTGAAAATAAAAAAGCGGAAAATATGGAATCTGAAAATAAGGGATTTGAGATGATTACTTCCGTTTCTGCACTACAAGCACTATCATGTCTACTTTGTCCTAAAGAAGAGGATGATTTTGACTCTGAACAGGTGGTCATATACTTCAAGATAAATTAGTTCTGTTCAGTTAAGTTGTAGAACTGTATTTGAACAATTTGTTCCCACCTTGCTGTGGGAGCAGAGCTGTGTCATCTGATACATTCATAGGAGGCTGCAAGGCTGATTATGCATGAGAGTATAACCTCTAGTACATTTCTAGCAAACATAATTATATTTTTTCTAAACCACCTGAACACTGAATAGGAAAATAGTTCTGTAACTATGGTAGCAATAGCCACATTTCAAAATGTTTCTCATTTATATTTATGGTCAAAGAATGCTTGACAACCATTGCAAAGAGTGGTAGCCAATCCTGTTTATGCCTAGACAATATTTCTATAAAGCAAATATTTTCAATTATGCAGTATTAATTGAACCCCCAAAGTACCAGTCCCTTAATTTTTAAAATTTGTCTACACATGAAAGCAGAGCAGAATATATTTTGAGCCAAAAAAATAGAACAAGCTAGTTTCAACCTATGGAAATTGGTTTCCCAGTACACGCTCAAATAGAGATGTAGAGTCTAATTAGCTGAGTGGCATTTGAGGTCAGGATAGGTAACACCATCAAGTCTTTGCATTAGCAAGATGGGCTTCATTTAGGACAGGAGAGTTCCCTGAACTGACCTTTGGCCACTCCACAGTCACTGCTATCATTTCCAGAACAACCAAATCACTTTTATATAAACCCCTGCTTTCCATTCTCCTGCTCCTTAAATATCAGTGAACCTTGGCTGTCAGACTGCCTATGATAAACAAAGCTTAGGGCATAAATCTCATACTAGAACAGAATATGTCAATTTGTATAAAATTATTTAAATGAAGTCTTTTATTATTATGACTGTGCATAAACCATCTCCTACAAACATGCATATCAGTTTAGTCCTCTCAGAATTCTTCTTTGCCATAATGTGAAAAAAAAAAGTATATTGTAAATGGGGTACAAATTCAGTGGCTTAGATCAACAGTGGATTGAACTTTCACCCTCCAAGAAGAGCTTACATGGAACAGGGCAAAATTAAATAAGATATAAAATAGAAATAAAAATCTGTAGAAAAGGGGGACTGGGTCAGCTTGGAGCCAGGATCAGGAGCTAGGAATTTTTAGTTAGGGAAAAGTCAAACAAAGAAAAATTGGGACACTAACAATGGCATTGAATATTTGTAACAAATAGGATACAGGAAAAAAAATAGGAGCAATGTATCAGTGAAGTTAAGAAAGCAAGTTCATTTTTGCTACCTTGTTTGAAATGCCAGAATGATAATTTTCTAGAGCCTACATCCTGGAAACGGTAGACTTATAGTAAGTATTTGAGAGACAGTGATCTTGAATATAGCAAAGTGGAACTTGTAATTGGAACTGAGGCAGAAATAAGTATTTGCACTGGTTCCAAAGCCTGATCCTATTGATGTTTATGCATAGAGATGTTTATTTGCATCTAGAGGTATTTCTAGGATGAAAGATAAGTGTTTATGAGAACAGAGAGTCTATAACATAATTTTACCAAATTGTACAATTTATGAAGGAAAATCACTATAATTAGGTATGATTCTGAATACCTGGGTTAAGCAATTTTGAGATAATTGGTCATTCAGACACCTCAGTACAGATATCATTAGAGTGTATAGAATTAGAGTATCAGAATGGTGGGAGAATAATTAATGTTTCTAATGAACTATTATATTTTCCAGGAGAAAAACTACCTTTCATTTTTTTTACCATGCATTAATCAGGGAACTGTAGAATGATTACAAACACACTCTCTGAAAACAGCAAGAGCACTGTTGCATGCACATTGATTCATTTACAATATCCCTCTTCTAAATGAATTGTTAAGACTCTGGGAGATTGGGAAGAGAGTTTGCCTGTTGTTTTTCAAACTCCTGAAGGGATCTTAAGGCCTGTGGGAAATAAGGTTCACCACTCTTCACAGACATTGTGACGAGATGTTCAAACTCTCATGTATTGCAAAGTGGCGTGAATTGCAATGACAAATTGCTTAGATAATTGTCTGTAGATTCCTGGTAAAGCACAAATGATGTCCTTATATGAAAAAATTACCAGATGGTTTTTAGTGTGTTTATTATCTCATTCCATCTTTTTACTTGAAATTTTTTACTTTTAATCATTTATTTTCATTAAGTTAATAAATCAAAACTCCCCTCTGCTCTGATATACTGATCCAATCATCATTGTCCATGGAGAGCATACCAATTTTTGCCAGGAATGTTCAAGGTTTTCTTCCTACTGATTTTAATTTTCTGTGGAAGGAGACACTCAACAAAACAAGAGGTTCTCAAGTTCCAAGAAATGCTTTTCCCTGATTTACTATTAGTATTCTGATGATTAATAATTTAATAAAAGTACTGCCCATTTATATGACCTTAGTGATTAGAAAGAGAAAAAAATTGTCCCGAATACTGTCTTGGGATTTTCACATAAAAATTCCTGCAATGCCTTATCCACAGACACAGCACTTTTGAAAAGGAATAGTTAATGTCTCACACACTGTTAAGATGTTATAGATTAATTTCTGATTTATAACTGTTGGGGTCGTTGAGCATAATAACGACCCAGGTGAGCTTTTCCACCAGCTTTCAAGGACAGACACCACTCTCCTTGTCCAAACAGGACATTCTAACTTTTGTTCATAACTGAAATCTTAGGAGATGAGGACAAAAGCCTCAGAAAAGAAAGCTAGAGGTGCTAGTTTACGAAGATCCAAGGAGATAAGAATTTTTGACTTCTAGCAATGGAGTAAATCAGAGCTACAGAATCTGACATCAGTAAGAACAATTAGTAAGAAGTTGGGATTTTCTTGAACTATCAAAGAATCACTGAGTGGGGCCAAAGAGGTGATTGCCACTATATCAATGATGCAATATGTGTTATACTCAGTTGAAAATGTGAACATTGTTCTTGTACCGATGAGTCAGGGCATTCCTATATTGTGTGCATGCTTGTGCCTAAAGATGGCAAAATAAATGCGTACTTGTATAAAGACCAAAGTAGGTCCTGCATGTACTTGGGGTTGCTGTATAAATCCACTAGTTTAGTGTTATAAGGTGGTTGGGTGGGGAAATGTTTCATACACACAGTGGAAAGAAGTAAATGCAGTTATTAGGGTTTTGAATGGATCCTTTGATGGCTGAATTCTTAGCCTGTATTTCCTTGTTAGTTTTTATTTCTATAAAACTTTCCCATACTTTTATCTACCATCTGAGGATGACCAGACACAGACAAAACCCAAAAGTATCAATGCTTTTCTAACATTTGGTTCTAACCTTTATAAGATAAACGTGGCTCATTCCCCTCTCTCCAAGGAAACATGATTCGGTGAGCTGGAACTGGGGATTTAGTCTGAGCAGAAATCAATTTTGCTCCAGAGCTTATTAAACTTAGTAATTTTTGAAAGGATGAGAAAAAGCACATTCGAAAGAGAAAGCACATGTCTCTCTCTTGTATAACAATTATTAATATGTAAACTGGAAAGCTCTATGAGTTTTGTAGATGGAAATCTTATATATAAAGTATTACTAGTCATATAGGTCATACAAGTAATAATTGCAAAATGTTGAGCTTTTTTTCCTTCTCCCCAAGTTATATTGCTCATCTACTACTGGAGCCATGGGTCCTGGGAATATTGGACCAACAAAAATAGAAGAGTTCAAAGGTAAGTTATTTAATAAAGCGGTATAGAACATTAGAATCGATAAAATAGCAAAATTATAGTGACAGTAATAAAAACTAGTACTTATTAAGACAAACTGAACAACCATGTATTGTATACTTAAAAATTGCTGACAGATTGTAATTGTTACCACAAATAAGTGATAAGTGTGTGAGGTAAAGCATATGTCAGTTGGCTTGATTTAGCCATTCCATAATGTATACACAGTTCAAAACATCATGTTGTACATGATAAATGTAGGTTTTATTTGTCCATGAAAAATGAATAATTTTAAAATGGAAAGATGATAAACTAAAATAATCATAGAAATGATGAACAGCATTTATATGAAGAGATCTTATTTATACTCCTACTGCTGCAGGTTAATAATTTCTTAATAATGAAAATTAATTTGCCTTGAACTATCCACATTCATTGGCATATTTCCTGAGATAAATGACTAAGAAAGTCATGTAAGGTTAGATAACTATTTTTTCCCAGCCCCAACCTCCCCTTCTGTTAGATAACTTCTTAGGGGCTATTTACCAAGATGCTTAACTTCTTCACCTTTTACTCTCCTACACTCTGGCAGTTTCACAAAATCCATTCATTAAATGTTCAATAAATATTTATTGAGGGTCTATTATGTACCAGGCAGTACGATCATCTCTGAGACTATGATGGAGATCAAAGTAAGAAGAGTCCCTACTCTGATTGTGCTTGTAAACTTTCAGAGAAGAAAATAAAACAAATAACTACACAATTTTATATTACATTGAAATGCTTATAAATCAAAGTCCATGGGATTACTTTAAAAAAATCACAGGTCCAAACAGCTAGAAGAAACAATTTTAAGTGACTTCCCAGCATTTTGGTCCATACATACATTTCAGATTCGAACATTTTACAAATCTTTAAAGATATAGAAGGCTCTGATTCTGTTGGTCATGGTCAGAATTACCATAGGATGGCCCAGGAGAGGATGTGACTTTTGTTCATCAATTTAGCTAATTGTGAAAGATATTATATAGAAAAAATGTTTAAAATAATGGCTAAAGTGAGGGCTGAGCATGGTTTTAAATTTTCAGTTATTGTTGCTGTACATACTCAAGAGACTATTTGCCCTAATCTAAAGAGGCTCACTACATTGCAGACTAGTCCAAATTTGGTTGTATTACTGTGCTGCCTGTATTTCTGATAATATAGGTCTAATAATCTCTAAATTTTGAGAGCAATGAGTCATATGTAAAATGTTATATATAAATCTGTACTTAGGCTTTAGAAAGTCCATGCTAGATAGAAGCAGATAATTTAAAAAGAATTGACAGAACTGAAAACCTGGCAATCAGGTGCATTTCTGGGAATGCTTAAAAGGACTCAAAGTAATGTTCTGAACCTAATGTGGGTTCCATTTGATGCCACAATAGAACAAATTCAAGCTGGGCTTTTCCATGCCTACTGGAGCCTTTTAAACATTGAGACATGACATACAGAAATCCAAGCACCTGCCAGGCACCAGTGGCTCATGCCTGTAATCCTAGCTAGTTCAAAGCCAGCCTGGGGAAATATTTTAGAAGATCCTATCCCAAAAATATTCAACATAAAAAAGTACTGGCAGAGTAGCACAAGTGGTAGAGTGGCTGCCTAGCAGTCTGAGGCCCTGAGTTCAAGCCCTGGAAACCCTCCCCCCACACAAGAAAAGCCCAAAAGAAATCCAAGCACTACTCACTTTTGCACAAAGGGTGAATGATAGAAATTTTTTTAAAGCACATGTATACATGAGGAAAACATTACGTTGAAAATGGTCATTTGTATCCACAGCTTTCAGTTCTTTAATTAATTCTGTTTTTAAAGTTATGCTATGCTTGCATACAAAAGGTATCAAAGAATTTTTATACAGCAAAACCAATGCAAGGTGACACATTTCTATCCAAGATCAATTGATTTATGTTTTTTTGTTGATAAAATATTTTACGTGTGATCATATTTATGTTTCTAAAAGTGTATAGTATTTCTTTGAATATACATATCTATCATAGATATAAATAGAAATATATATATATATATATATAGAGAGAGAGAGAGAGAGAGAGAGAGACAGATGGAGATGAAAGACACACAGCCCCAGAATGCCAACATTGATTATCTCCAGGCAGTTGGATTATAGATGATCTAGATGATCTTATTTTTTTCTTTTTGCTTATGTGCTTCTTCTAAAATTATTATTACAATTCTGTAATGTAATGGGCTATATTGATAATGTTTAAAGTCAGTTGTTACTAATTTAGCTTGTTTGAACCCAAACCACCAACTAGTGATTACAAATAGAGAATGCTTTACTTCAGTTATCCCCAAATGAGTGTGAAGAACATAAGCCATTTAGAGGAGGAAAACAAGCAACAGCTTCAGCCTTATCTTCCGGTTCCTCACAGCCATTACTCAATGCAGTAGTGAAACTAGTGAAGACATCTGGAGTCCAGAAGAGGTTCCAGACGGAGCAGAGCACGATGACATGTGGGATGTTCGAGAAATCCCAGAGTAAGTCAAATGAAGCCAGGCATGCATTTAGGTGTTTAAATTAGATGTGTCATTTGATACCATTCTATTTTTGACAAGATTCATGAAATAACTTACACCACACAGAAGATAAAACTGCAGTGCCACATAGAAGGCATGTATAATTGATGATTTTTTCCCCTTCTGGAGCAGAAACAAATAATAAAAACATAATACCTTTCTTTTAGTTATTATCTAGCAAAGATGACAAATACAGTCATTTCCATTATAAATTTATGTTTAATGTAAGTTGTTGTCTAATGTAGCACTAACAGTAGGAGAAAACCAGCTCATTAAATTGCAAGTATTCATCCAAACCAAATTACAATACCATGTTTACATGTCAAAGATCTGCTTTTAATTACTCAGCATTCTGTAATTTCAGTGAAAGGCTATGTCCTCTCTCCAATTATCAATTATTATGCAGACTTATTTACTAGCTATTTCAGGATTATGCTTAGTATTCAGTGTATTTTGCCAACAGTATTCAGGCCTTGCTTTGTAGCTTTTCAATATCATGTAATTGTAAATATAAAATTTAGAATTATCATAAAAACTCCTCTAATTCTGATAAAAACTCACTCTTTTAAAGGATTTAAAGTATATTAGTGGTTAAATAGACTTAAAAATATGTATTTTGAAATAAAATCCTAAGTATTTACAGCAGCTGGAAAAACAAAGTCAATACTTATGAGATTATAATGTATTTTATTTGCTCTATTTGGGATTTTTTTTTTTTTTGCTTTTTGAGACAGGGGCTGACTATGTAGCTCAGGGTAGCTTCAAACTTGCTATCCTCCTGCCTCTGCCTTCTGAATATTGGGATTATAGGCTTGCATGACCATGCCCAGCTTTATTAGTTCTCAAAGATTGCTATGACAAGTGATCTGACAGTTTTTCTAATTCTGACTGCAAAACTGTATGGTACATTAAAAAACCCTATGCTTCTATCTTCTATATCAGTTCTGAAAATAGAAGCAGTGTGAGACTACAGATAATTAACTGGAGAGAATTATGCAGCTTTCAAATAAACAATGTCAAAAAACTGCAAACCTTAGAAAAGATTAGAGATTTTAAAACATTTCTGGGTGCATCTTAAGAATGAATAAAGCAAATCTCAGGTTATGTTTATACAGTGCCCACACATCTGTATGAAGGGTAAGAATTAAGTCACCCATTTGTCATATTGTCTAATTAATATCATATCCATATGCAGCAAGCTTGAAATTTGAGTAAATTTTCACTTTTCATTCTGATGTTTGATGTTTTCTAGATAGAGCATTCCTGAAACTTTAAATGAATAACAACTCCAGTCAAGATATGAGGAAATTGCTTTATAAGAATTTTTCTCTTTATTTTCTACCTTATGAAAATACATTTCAAAATGTCTCAAAGGGTAAAGAAGAAAATGGTAAAGAACATGAACAGGCAGCTCACAAAAGAAAAATCACAAGTGGTCAAATGAAAAATAATAAGGACTGAGCTAAGGCACATAGTATAGCTGCGTTGACTGCATTATCACTGTTTCTGTTGTAGAACTGTGTAAGTGGAAAAGACCATAGAGATCATTTTTTCTTTATTTCGCACCTGCCCCACCCATAAATCACACAAATGAAGAAGTCGAGACCCTGTGAGTTTGTGACTTGACCAAGGTCACACAGTTAATTACAGGGACATTACTAACTCTGGATTTTCTAACTCTACTCTGGAGTTTAAAATTAGCAGAGGAGGGTTTCTATCTATCCATCAAACCTGGGTTATGGACCTAGTATTTTTTCTAAGTCACTGTATTCTCGGAACAGACCTTCTTTTTTCTTCTATTTTCAATCTTACTAGAATCTTATTAAAAATTCTGTTGATCCATTTTTAAATAGCTAAGCTTTTTTAAAAAGAAAATAAGTATGTACAAAACACCAATCCTGCTCTTCAGTGTTTAAGGACTTTTGTTTGTTTTGTTTTGCTTTTTTATTTGGTGGTGGCACTGGGGTTTGAACTTAGGGCTATGCACTTGCTAGGCAGGTGCTCTACTACTTGAGCCACACCTCCAGCCCTCTTTGCTCCGGTTACTTTGGTGATAGGGTCTTGCTTTTGCTGAGACCAGCCTGGATTGTGATCCTCATATTTTATGCTTCCTGCCATTGTTGGAACTGCAGGCACATGTGCCTGGTTGAGATGGGTCTCATAGACTTTTTGTAGGAGTTGGCCTTGAACCACGATCCTCTGAATCTCAGCCTCTTAAAGTAGCTAAAATTACAGGCATGAGCCACCAGCTAGTATTTTTTACTGCATTTCTAGACTTTAATTCCTGTATATTACACTACATGTCTGAAAACCAGCAAACACTTTGTTTTAGTCCTTTGATTTTTTGTAAGAACATATTCTTTTATATTTGTAGTTTATTCCACTCTGTAACAGGAAATTGCTCTTTCATTTGAGTCTCTATTATCATTGACTTTTTTTTCAGATATGAGATTATATTCAAACAGCATGTGGGAACTGAGGATGTATACCTAGGATTGACAAGAAAGGACACTTCAACAGCATGTTGTCAGGAGCTAGTGGTAAGCCTCACCTAACCTTCCTCATTTCTAAATGGCCATTATAGCTAAATTGATTAACCATTATATACATAATATTGTAGACAAGGCTGTAAACTCTTTACAAATAATGGTTGCTATGTTTCATTCACCAGGGTACTCAACAGTTTAAAACTAATAGTGTGCAAAATCAACTGTTTACTCATGTTGGACAAGATTCACAAACAACCCTAATAAAAACATATGACACAATCCACGATTGCTAGTCCTAATTAAAACTACCCAATCTGGTTGAACTGAATATTCTTTCATTCTAGTTCTGTCCCATGCATGCTATCTGATTGGTTATTGCCTTCTGATAAGCTGACAGGCAATCAGAATGAAATATTTCCTTCCTTGAATCTGTCTTATCTCTTATTTCTGTATTCTTGTGATGACTCAGCCTGCTGTGAGGGATTTAAAAAGCTATTTTCTTCTTAATTTTTGGATCTGAACATCTGATTTAAACTACTAAGAAGACGTCTAAAATGTTTCTTGGTTCCCTTATTTGAATGACACTATAGCATGTTGGGGACCATCCTTTGCCAAGTCACAGTTTCTATGTAATAACAATAGCATTACCAATGGTATCAGTGATACTACCTCCTTTTGCTTATTTGATTCTTTTAATTATTTTGTTCAAAAGTCTGAGCCTAACTTAGATTTGTGGAATTCAACTCATTTTGGCAACATATACAAGTAATTCTGGTGTTAAAAATTACTTTTTCAGATCAGGAGCTATGCTTCTTTCTCCCTCCTCTCTTATAATACATTATAGAATACTGAGGTGCCAGTAGAAGATGCTTAATATTTTTTTCCTTAACAAAATGATAAATGGAGTCTCCCTTTGGCAGGAACTCCAAGTTTTCTCTTATTAGGAAAATCTAAGGCATTCAATTGAATCAAGTAACATAATGGGAATAGTGACTTTAAGTACCTCAGGAGATTTTTCAAACTCTAATGAGTTAAGGTTTCAAGTGATCTTGAAATAATTAGCTTCCAGGGTTTTACCAGTAATATTCAAATTCCTCTCCCTTAAACTACCATAAAATTATGTTTTTGATGTCTAGTGTTGGGGATTGCTGTAAGCTCTAGAGAAATTCTAAACCCTAAAAAAAAAAAAAAACTGTTACATGCCTTTCCATTTCTTTCATGCAAATTGCTACGAGTTTTAATAATAAAGGTATTCTGAATAAAGAATCTTGGAAACTAAACCACACCTCATAATAGGAATTTGCAGTTTATCTAAAACTCAATAATTATATATAGACTTGATCCTTCCCTCGAATGAATTTATAATCGACTGGAGAGACAAGCCTAACATGAATAAACTAATTTTATTATTAACAATCAAGTAGTGTAGGCAGTTGTAAGTCTACTAGGAGTTTAGAAGGTTTAGATAAGGTATGGATACCACTGAAGAGCGACAGCAAATAAAACATTCGTTGGTGCTGTGGTACTTTACCACTTGTATACTGTTCCTTTTCTCACTTTCCTTTCTTCCTGTGTCTTCATTTATTCAATCTTTAAATAGTGAATGCTACTAAGTACCAAACACTGTCCTAAGTACTAATATACAAAGATATTTAAGAAACAGTTAATTGCTACCAAGGAATTTGAAGTAAAGGAGATAAGCCACTTAACAAATCATTGTAGTTTCGTATAATAAGTACATATGCAGAGGCATTTATCTGGTTCATATAGAGCAGAAAGAGATCCGCTAACTCCATTTGGATGGATAGGATTTCTACAGTGGACAACATTCTAAGAAGAGCATTCTTTTTAAAATTATTATTGTGCTGGGTGGGGGTTCATTGTGACATTTACAAAAACTCTCACAATATATCATACTTGAATTCACCCCTCCACCATGCTCCTTCATTCCCCCCTCCCCCATTCCTGGGATAGTTTCAACAGGTATCATTTTTTCCATTTGCATTCATATGTACACAGTATTAGCACCACATTCACCCTCCTTCACCATCCCCCCCCCCCAAGGCAGGACCTGTTTCACCCTCCTTTTCTCCGATTTTGTATACAAAAAGAAAAAGAAGAAAAAAAACCCGACATTTTTGGTTGTTTAAGATAGCTACACAGGGAGTTTCCTTGTGGTACTTCCATGTATATATGTATTATAGACTGAGTTGGTTCATTTCCTCTATTTTTCTTCTTTCTACCTTGGTCCTTTTCTTATGGTTGTTTCAACCTGTTTAAAAATTCTATATTCATTTTTTGTATAGAGAGTACATCAACCATATTCACCTTCTTAACTTCCTTCTTTTACCATCCCTTCTTATATGTGACCTCCCCTTAGCATGACAAGTTTTTCATAGTATTTCTGTATTTGTGTTAGTTCTATAGTCTGCATATGGGAAAAACATGTGACTTTTGGTAAGAAGAGTGTTTTCAGCAGAGGTAAGAGGACATGGGAAGGTATCCAGGCATGAAATAGCATGGCATATTTAAGCAGTGAGTATAAGAATTGAGAATAATTTTGAGAAATGATGTACTGATAAGCTGCCTCTCAAAAGAGATGTTTTAAATCCCCAATTTGGGTTGGGGTGAGTAGGTCAGAGGTAGAACACTTGGCTTGAATGCACAAGGTCCTGGGTTTGATCCCCAGCATTACAAAAAACAAAACCCATAGACATATTAATGACATCTACCATCATTGCTTAGCCCCACTATTAAGAATCAGAGTAAAATGATTATTAGCCCCGTCTTAAGTTTTCTTACTCAAATTTATATGCTTATTATTCCTTTTGATAATATGCTGTCCTCTTAGCCAGGTGCTGGTGGCTCACACCTGTAATCCTAGCTACTCAGGAGGCAGAGATCAGGAGGATTGCAGTTCGAAGCCAACCCAAGCAAATATTTCCATGAGACCCTATCTCGAAAACACCCTTCACAAAAAAAGGGCTGATGGAGTGGCTCAAGGTGTAGGCCCTGAGTTCAAATCCCAGTAGCGCAAAAAAAAGATAATATGCTGTTTTTTTAAATCTAAGATGTCATCAGATTATACACGTGGCATTTATGTAACAACAATGCTTTAGAGGAAAGGTAGTTACACTACTACATTAAATAAACACATTGATTATGTGATGCATCTCAATATCAGAAACATTAAAATGTGGAGAAAATGGAACCTTAGAATTGGTTAAATATTTTATTTGGGTCTTGGACCTGATATGTAATAATCCAATCCAATCCAATCACTTTAAGAAGAGAATCTTTGAAAAAGAAAAAAAGTAGAAGAAGAGAATCTTTGCTTAAGCCCTTGCTTGTTTAAGTACAAAGAGTGATTTGGGCTTTATTTTTTATTATCATATATTAGTTGTACAAAGATATTTCATTGTGATACTTCCACACATGCATACAATGTATCTCAATTAAATCCACCCCCTCTATTCCTCCCCTTCAGCACCCCTCCTCCCTTCTAAAACAATTTCAACAGGCTTCACAGTTCTATTTTCACATGAGTATAAAGTACTTCACAATATTCACCTCCTTCACCCTCTCCTTTTGGCCTCCTCTTTCCCACTGGTACCCACCCCCAAAACCTTGATTTAGGCTTTAAAAATTTCAAAAGGACCACCATTTCCTTATTCTCCTCAGATTACAAATAAGAAAACAAGGTTTATCAATCCTAAATCAAAGTGGTGGTCCTAAACAAAATTCTAAGTTAGGAATATGTATATCTTTAGCAAATCTTCCTTCTAACCCCAAACCCAAAGAGCCCCATTATTCAGATTCTGCTGGCCCCATTGTTATTCTCTGTGCCTTTCTTCCCTCCTCTTAATCTATATTTAGATATTTTAGAGCTAGAGCTAAGTCTGTGGTTTACAGATTTGTTTTATTTTTATCTGTCAAGCCTTTTCTTCAAATACAATTTTATGTGAAGGCCCAACATATAAAACACACAAAAATACCAGTGTTTTGGTTTTAAAAAATGAGAGAGAGAGAGAGAGAGAGAATATGAGGCATCTTGTAAGAATGGCAGGGGATTCTTGGAACACAATTTGAGGAATTCTGATCTAATCTACCTTTATATTAAAGTATTACAATTGAGAAACTAATGTCAGGCTTATAAGATATCAAATACATATATAAATTAATGGAAGACTAATAAGAGTTAGAGGTCTTCTTCATAGGTGACATACATAGGTTTTTTTTTTTACATCTTATGAGTAGAAGACCCCTAATTTGTTTTATTTTATTTTATTATTCCTTTATTGTCTTTTTTATCCTTTATCTATTCTCCATTCTTCATTTTTCCCCCCAAGACTCCACTGTAACGGGTTTGATATATATCCTAGACTATATATATTTGAATACTTATATGTCATTGTTTGCTATATTTTTAGGGCAGCAAATACTTAACGATGCACTTGCTATGTGCCAGATGTTATGGACCAGATGCTGGTTATACAGTGGTGAACAAAATAGACATAGTTCTCCTTTTAAGGAGCTTACTGGCAAGACATCAAGCAGTCCATAAGCAGCAGTACAGTGGGAGTTAGTAGGTAGGCTTGCCAGACTTTCATAGATTCAATCCAATAAGGAAACAATGACCCTGAAAGAAGCAGTTTATACTTACACAGACAGCATAGCAAGAACAGTATACAGTTGTCTCCTTGAATCCCTTTGGCCACAGGATGACATCAAACCAAAAGGGGCCAGATGGCAGGTAACACGAGCAGTGGGGCAGTTTGTTGCTGAATAGCTAACTCTACACTGCAACTAGCTATTTTATAGCCTGCATCTGTACCCAAGGAGAGTGGGGTAGAAGGTTCTTCTGGAACTGGGGAGTGGAGTAAAAACTGTCACATGGCAACTTCCAGCAAGATAGGGGGCCTCCTACAAAGTAGAGACAGATAAGAAGCAGCATCCAGGCAACTCCTCAATGACTACTTATCTTCCCACATTCAGGGAGGATCAGAAGATGTTCTGCCAAAACCTGGGTCACACTGTAGTTGAACCTTGCT